GTCTCATCCTAAGGACCGCCCCATTTAGTCGTCTTAAAAATACGACAAGCAAGGGGGTACTGAGGACCTATTCTAACCCGGATCCCCACGGGGTTTAACATGTTTTAAAAAGCAGGAAGGATTGGCTTTTTGAAGTGATTTCAAGATTGGCGAGTGTAAACTATAAACAGATCTTTAATTCATATTATGTTTTAAAACGGACAGATGTAATTATGCCCCTCTTTCAAAATAAACAGATCTTTAATTCATATTATGTTTTAAAACGGACAGTTGTAATTATGCCTCTCTTTCAAAATAACTAAATATATTTTTAAAATATCTTAATAAATGTTTAATGCAGGTTGGTTTGTGAATAAGAGCATTCTTTGGAATTTATCTGATTTGTTTGAGTGATCATTATTTTCATGATAACTTATTTCTAGCGTATAAAAATTTTGTTTAGGAAACACTTCAATATTTCCTATCTTCATTGTCTTTAAACATTAAAACGATGCTTTTATTTTTTATTATTTATTTATTTTGCTACATGTTATTAGAGAAGAAATTATTTAGCTGAAGTCAGTCAGAAGCCATTATCTATGCAGCTTTTATCATAAAATATAAAATTTGTGAATAAAAAAATAAAGGAAATTTACCTGTCAATGAAATATTTATAGAACATCATTTAGGGAAAATTTGAATAAAGAACTAAGAAAAGAAAACCTGCTGTTTCTGAACTTATTGAATTTCATTGCCTCAGTTCAAATGCACAAGTAACACAATCAAAATATATCAAGTTCAAATAATTCGACCAATGTGTATTACATGTACTAGTACTTGTACTTGGTAAAGTTTTAAAGCTTTCCTTATTGCTTGTCCCTTTGCTGTCATTTAAAGCCAGGTGTTTTGAAATTTACAACATATGTTAAACGTATTTATCATGCTTTGACGGACACTGTGCACTAACATATACGTATATATCTAGTGAATTATAAAAATGAAATCTACCCCCATCTTAATTTAACCTGATTATATATTTTTGTAATTCTTTGTGCATTTATAACGAATAAGATATTTAATTGTATATTTTTGTACAAATAAAATTAATGCATATTCACTCTGAAAAACAATATTTTTCTTAAATTTTTAGCATCTTTCCAGAAGAACTGACATTGAAGATATACTTGGAAGAAAAATACCTGCACTAGACGTGTTTTCCAATTCGATCAAGTACCTAAAAAACCACTTTTTAAAAACATTGGAGGATATACTACCCGATGCATCAATGGAAGATGTGATGTTCGTTCTCACGGTTCCAGCGATTTGGCGAGACTCGACAAAGGAATTCATGAGAGAGGCAGCAATAAATGTTATTTTATTACATTGTTATTACATTAAAATATTAATCTTGCTAAGATGTTGCTTTTTAGGGTTAAGAGTTTTGTGACTAAGGATACATGTTTTCCAGTATTACGTCCAGAAGCTTAGAGGGCTTAGCACTTGTTGCAACTTCATTGTTTATGTTGATGTCTCTCCATCTCTTTGTTCAAAGTACGCGAATTGTTGAATTTGTAACAGCCTATAATTGTACATGATAGCAAATACGTGGTACATAAGCTTTCATAGAACCCCAAGCGAGATGAAGATTAATTAGACACCCCCATCCCCCTAACAAAGTAAATTCAAAAACACTATTTCTGTTTTCTTTCTCGCAAACATTTATATATTTAAATCGATATGACTAAACATTTATGTTTTTAAACCAACAATACTGTACTGATTTGATTACATGTAAATGTCTTGTTCTGATCGATATCTGAAAATCAATTTCAGTCGACAAAACTTAAATAAATAAAATCTATTGATAAAAGAAGTGCCTAATTATGTAAAACATATAAATATAATTTAAACTATTTGTACAAAAAGGAGTTATTACACTTAAATAGTTAACTGATTTTAAAAGTCTCAACATTGAGCTTGAAATTGAAAGTTTTTATTACAATAATTTTCATGCTATGTTTCTCAATGTGATTCAACATTCTTTTAAGTCGAAGAAACGGTCTTATAAAATCCTGATATGTGTACCTCATGAAGTACAAAAATAAATGCACTGTTAAAGAAATTGATTTTCTTTAAGCTTATCTTTCATACCAGTGTTTATTTGCATTATATGAAATTAGAAGTAAACTATGATGTATTACAGCTATAGTAAATGAAGGCTATAAAACTTAACTAGGTGCAAGCACTAGTACATGTAGTACACATCTAAACTAAGTAGAACATGTAAAAAAAAACTTAAGCACCAATTAGGTAGAAAAAGTGCAATTTTTCTCCAAATGCCTGGATACTTATAATTTTTTATCAAAAAATATATTTCAACTAACAAAAATGTAAAGTGATTACTTTGATTTGAAATTCTTGAAAGTATGCTTAAGATCAAATAATTTTCACCATGTACATCATATTATTTACTTTAATGATAATCTTTGAAGAAAACCATGGGTAAATTAACATTATTTTGAGAATTCTTAGACACGTTTTATTGTTATTCGACTCCTGATTTTCAGGACCTGGGGGTTGTACTTTATTAAACCTTTAAAGGGAGTAATCATGCATTTTTAGTACTTGTTAGCATTTATTGGATAAAATGTGTACTCCAGGTGCCATATATATAATACTGAATTATATTTAACCTCTGAAAATATTTTTTTTCCTTTGTGTGGAATGGAGTGGAATGGAAACCCATTTGAAAAACTTAGCTGGAATAGACATATTGAAAGTTTGCTGGATTTCTGTCGTGTTTTACTTTATAAATAAAATTATATACACTTTTTGTGATGAACTTAACATCGAAAAATTAGTTTCATAGAAAAATGCTATAAGAGAATAGAAAAGGTAATAAAAAACATTGTATAGAAAAACCCAAAAAGATTCATCATTCTTTGAAATTGAGTATATTTTTGCAACACAAACACACAATGTAATATGAAAATTCAGAAATGTCATAAAGTCATTTGAATTATCATTTTATTCTTTTGATTAGGCAGGGATTCCGTCAAGAAGAATAACACTAGCTTTAGAGCCGGAAGCCGCTTCTTTTATGTGTCAAAACATCCCCATTGAAAAATTGCCCAGTGGAAAAGGATTCACCATTTCTAAATCAGGAACTCGGTATCTCATTGCTGACATTGGAGGTATAGTATAAAATTACATGTGGATAAATTTACATCATCCATTTATTTCTTAAGTACCATTATTTATTTGGTTTTTAACAAATTTCTAGTTATTGTGTTATTGTTAAAGGGAGAGCTAATGCCTGCGTTTTTGTCTATTGGCCAGTTAATTCTTTATATAAAGATTTTTTTAAATAAAACTAAGTATAGTTAATTGTGCTTATTTCAACTTGGTGTTTTTTTTTTACGTTTTCTGAAGCAAGTGAAATGTATATCGAAGTTTTTACTAGAACATCTTGGTTAAAAGTTAAACTTGAGATTTGATTCGTACATTAATTTTGTAAACTTGTAAACGTTTACTATCCTTTCAGGTGGAACGGGTGACTTTACTATTCATAAGAAACAGAAAAACGGTACATTAAAAGAAATAAGCAAAGCAAGCGGAGGTGCATATGGTGGAATCAATGTTGACAGGAAGTTTGTTGAATTTCTCCAGAGAGTAATGGGTGAAAATGCAGTAAAGCAACTAAAGGAAGAGGCGACTATTTAGATTTACTACGTGATTTCGAAATCAAAAAGAGAACCGCTACAATTGACGAAGTTAAAGTCATACGTTGTACGGTTGAGTGCGTCTTTCAATAAATTTGCAAAAGAGAACAATCCAAATTTTCAAAACCAAATTAAGGACTTGGGACTGAAGGGAAATGCTGTTTTCTTAAGAGATAAACTAAGATTCGACGGAGCAATAATGAAAGGTTTCTTTGAAGATTCAATCAAAGATATATTACAACATATTAAAACACTCTTGGGGAAGCATTCAAATGTTAGTCACATCCTTTTGGTCGGCGGTTATGGAGAATGCGTTCTATTACAAGAAGCAATACGAAGAGAATTCCGGAATCAGACATTGATTGTTCCACAGGATTGTGGCCTTGCAGTTCTTAAAGGTGCTGTCTTGTTTGGGCATAATCCCGGGACGATATCTGAAAGAGTCTTGAGATATTCATATTTTTCAAGTAAAAGAAGACATTTTGACCCTTGCATTCATGACTTGAAAAGAAGGGAGGTTTCTGATTTTGGTATCATAACCTGTAAGGGCACCGTGACAGAAATTATTGCAGCAGGTACAACTATTGTATCTGAAGGATTAAATATCGAAGAAACTTGTATTCCACTGAGCAAAAACACTAAACATATACTATATACGATTTTTTATTCAGAGAAAGATGATATTCTGTACAAAGATTCTGAAGACTGCAAAACTCTCGGAACAATTGAAATACCAGTGAAAGCTGGTAAGGAGAAAAAACATAAAATTTGTAAAGCTGTTTTTACATTTGGCCTCACTTCAATTCAGCTAAAACTGACAAGTTCAGCAGAGGAGGAGGTGGAAGGAACATTTGATCTCCTGTAATGACCGATTGTCTGAGACACTTTAGTTTAAAGACCAGTGAATGAATTTGAATAGCCTTTTATATTTAGCGCAGATCTATTGTTAAATTATATTTAATCTCAACTTATATATACATGTACCATACTAAACCAATAATTGTTTTTTTTTTAATTTTTGCAATTATAGCATTCAATTGAACTAATATATTGATACATGTACTAGCTATGTTTAGTCTCAATCATGTAACATTCAAATTACCTTTGATGCTGAAGCCGTCGATAGAATAAAGTAGTCACGTTTTAGTATTCCGTGAATTAATTACTATTAACGTCTTTTTCTATTACAATAACAATACATGAAACAAATTAAAATGCGTTATTCTCTGTGGTATCTTTTATTTCCACTTCTTGGAATATATCTGGTAGATACTCACAGTCAAGAGAAATGCAGCACCCTAATTGTATGGTGAAAAATTATATACGGGTTAAAACTATGTACCAAAAATAATTACTTTGCCAAATCGATTATTTAACTGTTGAAATCATTACTTTTCATTATCCAGTTTCCATTATCCAGTTGCTTTTTATCCCTCTTAACAAAAATCAAAATTTTGCATTTTTAATAAAACAATTTATCAATAATTTGGGTTTTCAAGGTTTTGTAGCTGTTAATCGTAAGTATTGTACTAAAATTGCAAAGAAAAATCCTTCTTTCTTTTCTGGATATGATGCCTATATTTACTCAAAATGATTGATTTTCATTGCTAATGCTGTGAATTCTCAAAATAAAGAGAAAAAGAGATGCAGATGCAAATGTACACTATGTAACGACTCATCAGGCTCATGTGTTTTAATGGCATAAATGACAGTTTCTTGACTGGAAGTCCAAGAGTTGCTACACTACGCCAAGTATGAGAAACTTCGACCGCAGTAACTGAAAAAACATGCATTTACAAAAGCCCAAGAATATTAATTTCGATCAGATTAAGACATTAATAAATCGGGCTGCATTTGTTGTATATGGCAGACTAGCACGTTTTAATAAAATGGTCGGAAGTGGTGATGTTTTAAGAGTTACAGGGTATATGTCTTTCTAAGGTCTAAAATTAATAATTTATGTTTAAATGAAGCATTGATTTGTAGAGCAAGAGCCATCTTATGCATAAAATTGATTTGCAGAGCTAGAGCCATCTTATGCATAAAATGGCCCTGTAATTTTATCAATTAATATTGATATTGAGTATTTTGAGAAAATGCATTTTATATTCAATTTGCTTTTAGAAAAGTAGCTTTCTTTGATAAGGACAAATCGAAAAGGCATATCACCTACATATAGCCATCCATTGTAAAAAAAAAATTAGATAAAGATTATGTTGTCGAATTATTTTGCGTTCCCATGCCAATGGCATATGTTACAATACACTTTGAAAATTACGCATTTTGAATTTTTTTTAAAGTGCGTTAGATATGGTACCATGTAATCGCAGTTTGAAAAATTAGTTTCTTTTTCGAAGTGCGTTAATATTGACCAAATTTGCGCACTTTGAAAAAACGTATCGCCAAATCAATATTGTTTGATCTTGTATTCAAAGATATGCATGATATCGGCGTTGATATTCGGGCTAACCTTTTTTTAGCTCACCTGAGCTGAAGGCTCAAGTAAGCTTTATGATCAAAGTTTGTCCGTTGTCTGTTGTCGTCGTTGTCGTTGTTGTCGTCGAAAACTTTTCACATTTTCATCTTCTTCTCAAGAACCACTGGGCCAGTTTCAACCAAACTTGGCACAAAGTATCCTCGGGTAAAGGGGATTCAAATGAAGGGCCACGCCCTTTTCCAAGGGGAGATAATCATGAATTTGTTAAAAAATTAATGGCATTTTAAAAAAAAATCTTCTTCTCCAGAAACGCTGGGCCAGGAAAGATGAAACTCAAATGAAAGCATCCTCAGGTGGTGTGGATTCAAGTTTGTTCAAATCATGCCCCCCGGGGCAAGGGTGGGACCAAAATGGCCGACCCAAGTTTTACATATGAATATATAAGAAAAATCTTTAAAAATCTTCTTCTCCAGAACCACTGGGCCAGGAAAGATGAAGCTCATGTGGAATCATCCTCAGGTAGTGTAGATTCAAATTTTTTAAATCATGCCCCCCAGGCAAGGGTGGGGCCAAAATGGCCGACCCAGGATTTACATAGGAATAAATAGGTAAACCTTTTAAAATTTTCTTTTCAAGTACATCAAAGCTATGGTTAGTGATATTAATTTGGAATCATCCTGAGGTAGTTTAGATTCTATTTTGTTCAAATAATGAACGCCTGGGGGAGTTAATTCAAGCCTGATGTGCTCAGGTGAGCGCTGTGGCCCCTGGGCCTCGTGTTTCAGTTTAACCATTACCTTTTAAATTGCCACCGACACTATAAGAAAGGATAGAGAAGTGGCTGAGAGACCTTCTTTTTCTTCTTCCTATAAAGTGAATGGCGGCTGATGAGACATTTTCTCACTTCGAACAAAAACGTGTATGCGTGGGGGAGTCCAGGCATCTATTTACAATTTTAAAAACTGATAAAACATGTCCTGCTTCATTTACGGTGATTTATATCCATTTATCTTGGTCTTAAAGGACTCAAGGGATGGTGTCTTCTGGCAGCTGGTTTTATATCCTGATGGTATACGTAGTTGGAAAGAACGATTCATTGTACAGTACCCGCATCGTTATTCTTTACAAATCTATCGTGTTCTATCGTGCGTGTATCCTATCGTATCGTACGTGCATCCTATCGTATCGTGTTTTCCGTTTATCGTGTTTTGCGTTTTCTATCGTGTTTTCCGTTTATCGTGTTTTGCGTTTATCGTGTAGATTGTTTATCAAGTTCTATCGTGTATCGTGTTTTGCATTTATCGTGTAAATTCGGAAACCCTCGCTTTTTATCTTTACTACAGGAAGAAACTACCGAGGTATTCCGAGTTTCTTTTTTCTCGCTTTGTTAACTAAAATGATATTATTTTAACCAAGAAGAAAAAAGCATGTTTTTCCCTAGTACTTAGTTTTTCATCATTAAAAGAAATATTAAAGCGTGGAAGGAAAAGAATAAATATATTAATAATATGATTAATAATTGAAATAATTGTTTATTAAATTAAATTAGGACAATAATCATATCATAGTCAAGCAGAGATTCAAAGTTGATTTTTGAAAATGAAATAATGGATTCCCTGTTGTTTTTTGTTTTATTCATCGAATTGTATGACTTTTTGGTCAAAATTATATGTTGATAAGATTTTCTTGAATTAGTCAGAGTCACAAGAGGATGATTTTCGGTAAGTCAGGGAGTATACGTACCCCCCCCCCCCTAAAAAAATAATAATAATAAGCAGAGGATTGATATGTATCTTAAATGCAATATTAATTGTACGGCGAAATTGGATCTTGTACTGGTGTTGGTGTCCCCTTGTGGCTGCATGCTTCTGTTTGGCTGAATTGGGGAGGAAGGTCTATTGCAACAAGGGAATGGACGACACGCTACATCATAATACACTTTGCTTTAATTCTGCTTTGGTGTAAACTTTCTTATCCTAGCCGGTCGATCATCGGTGTGACACTACTGGTGATGAAGTTATAAGTCGCTGCATTGGCTTTCGTCCATAAATGGAATAGGCATTTGACTGGTTTTTGTCTTGAGGACACTATATGTTTGTGTCGATCATGTCCATGTCATGGTCACTAAGGCCCGAGCATGGTATGCAACCGTTCAATAAGGAGGGGCGATTCGTGATGAAAACATCTAAGGTGTTGGTACCTCGGGTAGGAAAGTCAACCACCTGTTCACTTCCAATGATAAACAGAGTGTTGATAAAAGTGGTGTTGATACCAGCTGGGTTATGTTGGGTTGATGTGCTTGAATTTAAGACTTCCAGTCGATATCGGGCAGATTGGCATCGCCTCCGATCCATATGACTGAACCTTGATATCTCTTGGCAAGGTTCTTGACAGCTTCACACAGCTCCTCTATGTATTAAATCCTCCTGCTTTGTGGCCGCTTAATTGAACCAATGATCAATGGGTCCACCCATCTTCTCTTCGTTCTCGATGAGGATAATTTAATTCTAGGGATTTAGGAAAGATATATGTCAAATAAATGCTATCACTAAAATCGAAGTCCAAAATTTTGGATTTTTTATTATTCATTTTCAAAGTGATTTAAGTGTCTCCAAGGTAAAGGATGTTGATGTACATTTTTAGCACACATGGAAAAAATCAAAGTACGTTATTTATTTTGTCTCAATTTAAACGCACTTTTGAATATTCAAGGTGCGTTGCCACAATGGTAATTGCTCATGGAAAGCATAACTAACGGTTCGAATTAAACTCAGTGGACTGTACAGGTCACTGTTTAAGAAATATGTAATACTCAAAACCATGTTGGGGTCATTCAAAGATATGCATTCATAGGGAAAGAAATCATTCAACGTGGTCTTAAAGGTGCATGAACACAGATTTGAAGTTAATATTTTCTGTTCAAAATCACGGCTTATATACATGTATTTTAGTTGCATTTTACACAAAAATATATATAAAATTTTATTTCACCTTAAGTGATTGAAACTTCACATTTTTGTAGGGGTCTGATTGACATACTGCACTCTCACAAATTTTACGTTTATTCTGGATACTTAGAGTAATAGTGGCAATCTTGTTGTGTATTGCTGAAAAAAGAGTTTAATCGAGAGAAAAAAAACGGCAATTATATTTAGAGTAGAAATGTTAGACAGCAAAACACTTTACAATTATCGTCATTCCCCGCTAAGTATTGTGTACAGAGTGTAGCAAATTGATCACAAGTGTTAAAGGTACACAGTTTTTATAAACAGGACACGGGTTATGTTATTGATGATGTTCATGTTATATTTTTTTTCATATAAGGATTTGGCAGCACTTTTAGTATTGTTTCATGTGGATAAAAACGCGACTTTTCAGTATGCTAAACATTCTTTATTCTGACGTCATTTTCGGAGTTATAACGTCATAAAAATTACTAAGTGACGTCACAATATGTGCATATTTTTTTTATCTTTCCAATGATATCAAACTCAATAATGTCCGTAAAACGGCTAATTTTTTATAAAACAGATCTCAGAACTTTTGAAATGCCCCTCATATTTACACTTTCTTTGTTAGACACTAATAAAAAGCATTATGAAATTACAATTAAGTGATAAATACACATAACACACACGAGCATATCACCAAAGTCTGTCTGGCGTATGAATACAAGGACTACGCCGTTACTGTTTAACATTTTTTTATATTACCATAATTGTTAAAAAAACATAATAGGTTCAGCCAAGTGAAAAAAATAGTGAAAAACTATACAAAATATGGGATTTCCATTCAAAACGAAAGTAGTTCATCGTTGACTATATTCTTTGTTCTCACTGAATGAAACAATCCAGGAAGCGAATATGACTGATTGGTTTGTTGTTGCTGCCATTGACTTTGGTACAACATATAGTGGATACGCTTTCTCCTTTCGTAGTCATCCGAATGACATTCATACTCCACAAACGTGGTGTGCTGGATCATCTTCTTTAGCATCTTTAAAAGCACCGACCTGTCTTCTTCTCAATCCGGATAAATCGCTCAATTCGTTTGGATATGAAGCCCAGGACAAGTATGTCAACCTTGTCTTGGAAGAAAAACATCGCGCCTACTTTTACTTTGAACGTTTTAAAATGACTCTTCACCAAGAGAAAGTGAGTACAGGTTATAATACCTAACTGCAAAAAAAATACGTATATCTATTTTAAATATGCTAATTTAGTGTATATTTTTATTATTTTGACAGTACAAGGTGAATGTTTAAATTGCATATAATGTTTGTATTTGTTTACAGAGCTGAATGGTCTAATTTTTCCATTATTTCACGATCATGACAAAGTGCACGGCCGGTGTGAGCCGTCGGCAGGGGATGCTCACTCCTCCATGGCACCTGATCCCACCTCTGATGTTTCGGAGGTCCGTGTTTCTCTGCTCTTATTTTGTATCGTTTCATGGACTTTGAGATTGAATACTGTTCGTTATTTCAATATCCTTCTCTTTAAAGGGGCATAAGCACGATGTGCAGCCAGGTAATTCGGATGAGATCGTATAAAAAAGGGACTGTGTTGCAGAGGAACTGTCACAAAATGGATATCTCACTGTTCAATGGCACTGCGTGCAGAGTATAGGTCTAAATTTGCCGCTCCATTGGCAAATGCTGGCATTTCTAGATGCATATTATAAAAACTTCTGGAGGAGAATTCAAACAAAAACAGCAATATATTCATATCAACAAAACTAACAAGCGATGTTGAAGACTATAGTCTCTTCAAACGTTTCTGTGCAACATGCAATCACATGAGTTTAAAGATGCTGCAAAAACAGTTTCAGTCTGATGTATCATGAATGCATTTTGAGTTACTTCTGACAGTCTGAATTGTATGCAATTATTGCTGTTTTTGAGGTCAATACAATGATTTAGCCATCTGAGGAGTACAATATTCACCGAGCCCGAATTTTTATTGACCGAAAAACAGCAATAATTGTTTTATTAAATTATTCACTGATAAGATGAGAAAGCCCTTTACTTGTTTGCATTTAGTTAAGTCCTAGCCAAATACAAAAGAGAATCAAAGGTGTGTCAATAAAGTAGGGAATCATATGGAAATAACATACAGTATTCAAGATCAAAAGACTATGAAACGATACAAAATATGAGCAGAGCAAACACGGACCTCCGAAACATCAGAGGTGGGATCAGGTGCCATGGAGGAGTGAGCATCCCCAGCCTACCGGTCACACTCGCCGTGCGTTTTTTGTCTTAGCCGGGAAATAACGGAAAAATCTGTCAACATTTCAGTGTATAAATAATGGACTTTCAATTAGTATGAAAAACGTCAGTCAGCAGCATTTGACTCACTAAATTTTACAAAGTATATGCTGGCAAGGTAAAATCTATTCTATTAGATTTGAATCAGAGAATTCGGCTGACTGCTATATCCACTGTTAAGGACTCTCTCTACACCATTACAAAATGTTTTTTGGATATTGAGAAAAATATATTCTATAAAGGTGTTAGTATTGAGCTTATTTATATGATTTTCAACATATGGTGCGTGGCATTTATCCCCAGGAAAAATCAAACACAACACAGTATCAGTGAATAGAAATCACTCTTGTTTACTTCCATAGAGAAACAACATGTAAATAACATGTTCAATTAATTTATCTCGGCCTTTTAAAATGTTAAGAATACCTGAATTGATTTAAAACTGTGTAATAAACTGTGAATTTCAAATTTTAAGAATTTAGATCTAAGGGCAGATCACTCTAACTGCAAAAAAATACAATAGAATCAGAACTCTCTAGTTTGCAGTGTAGAGAGGGTTCTTAAGGAAAAAAATAACATATTTATCGGTCTTGTTTTTACACAGAAAAATCCACAGAGGTATAATATAATTTACAACTTATGAAGCAGCTGTGTGATATATTTTATACAATGACTCATTATTTTTGAAAGATATACTAGTATTCTCATATAACTGCAACAGTTTAGTTAATGCACTTCAGCACGTTTTGAAAATGTTTTTGCACACTCCGCTTCAGTAATATGAGACAGTATCTTTCCATGGTATTAATGGCTAATACTCGTATTTACATAATTTAACTCTCTGTCCTGACGACAAATGTGTATTATATTTCAAAATCCCTGTATAATTGTTCAGGTAATTTACAGTTAACACGTTAATGGGAAAAGCCAATGCAACAGTTTCTGTTGAATGTGAGCAGAATTTATAATTTTTACTTACGGGGGGACCTATGTTTGAAAAGTCTTTGTGTGAAATTTTTAAAACTTTGACATTTCTTTCATGGCAACTTGCTCTTAATTTTTAGGTATAAAAAACAGTACCTTTATATGCTTATTATTACACAGAAGAACGTGCAAAAACAGTGTGAAATGCTAAAAATAGATTATTTTGCTCTACATCAAATATGCATTAAAAAGAATCAAAAATGTCAAATCAAAATGAAAATGAACAGGTCTTTATATCATTTGACTAGTATCTTTAAAATGAAGGCAAAGTCACTGTAATTCATCTCGCATGAAAAATTATAATGGAGCACAAAGTAGGTATTACCTATTTTTCTTGTATTTTTTACAATTCCAAATTGCATAAAAAGGTAATTTCTTAAAGAAATATTTGTGTAAAAATGCTATAATTCATATTTTAAAAAAAAAAAATGAATTATCTCTTTATTTTAATAAAGAAAAAAGTATATCTTTATGATAAATTATAAGAGGCAAGTTGCATTAAGTACGTAAGAGGTAGGTCTAGTGTTTGTAAAAAAAAAGACACTGAAATTAGTTTGACACCCCCCCCCCCCAACGAAATATGATTTTCGTGATTGTGTTTGGACAATGAACACATTTTTTTTGCTTGTCAAGTTTTTTTGTATGTTAGATTTTCTTTCTCTTTCACGAAGCCCCCCTTTCAATTTGCTTCCGATGTCAATGATTTTAGAGGGGAAGGGGAACTCTTATTTGTATTACACAATATTTTTCTACAATAATCAGCAGTGATTTCCTTTAAACATTTTAATATTTAGTTACTTAAGAAATAACTCTAATTCTTGGTCAAATTATTCGATGATAACCTGGTCTGGGTACGAAAGCCCAGAAGGCTCATTCGAGATTCGAAATTCGAGATTCAAAATTCGAGTTTCGAGATTCAAGATCCAAATTAACCAATCAAAAGGCAGGTTCAACTTTGATTACTCCCCTCTATTATGTTTTACTAATAAGAAATCGTTGAATATATTCATATCAAATGGGTCATTTGCTTTAATGATAATGCAAGAAAAAAAGATAAAATAATGTATTAAAACGAAATAAAAAGGAGTTTTAGGTTACATTTTAGAAAATTTAAATAAATTCTTATTTTTCCTCATTAAACAAAACAATAGGGTGTTTCACAATATATGTCACACATCTAAATGAGCATAATCTGAATATCGAACATGATACCAAAAAATCCAAAGCACTATAGTTAAGCATATTGATCTAAAATTATTATGTTGCAAAATATCGGGAAAATAATAATAATCCAGGAAGTAACTGATGATATAATCAGTGATGTCATCATTTCAGCTATTCTCAAAATTGCGTAAAACTTGCAGCAAAAATTTGTTGTAATTTTTTATTATAAGAACCGTTTACGATATTTTAGATATTTTACAGGAGGCTATGATAAAAAATAACTATACCAGAAATCACTGTCTACTTTTTCTTCTATTAAGAATAATAAGAGGGTTTAAATTAAATTATAATGTAAAGATGAAAGACAGTTAAACCCTGCCTCCTCTTCACCCAACCCTACCCCATCCCCCAAAATATCAAGAAGAGATGAGAACAATATCAGGGTCAGAGTCAATCATTGAGAAAACCTAATGAAAGCCAGATCTGAGTTTAGGAAGATGGGTTGTAACAATGCCAGTAAGTGTATCCAAAGTATTTCGCAATTTTAAATTTGAGTTAAGTATGTCTGCATACAAGTTTTCAACGTTTAAAGTCAAATGACAGTCAGAGCCGGGGTAAAAGTTGGCAAGATTGACTGAAAGGAGAGTGTAAGAAGTGGACACCAATTAACACATGCCGGTAGTTCTGAAACGAAATATTTATTAAAATGTTACTTTAAATAAATATAGATATGCACTATTAGGGTTATAAAAAGCCAGATATAAAACAAGAAAAGCTCAGAAATCTTGGGAAATTTACAAAACAGTGGTCAGAAATTTATAAAGTTATTTAGGACAATGTTGGGAAAACACGTCGAGAATAACATTTGAGGATTTGTTGCCATAGTAACTGAGGTGGGGGATTTTGGATACTTCTGACTAAAAAAAATAATTTTGAATATATGCCGATTAAAATGATATATAAAATGTGTGTGTAGCTTTTGTTGTTATTTATCTATCTGTCTTTAGATGTGTGACATATATTGTGAAACACCCTGTACGTATATAGAATATTATATGGTCTTATCGTTGAATTGCGGAAGATTTAGGTCGACATGTTTTAAAATAAGAACATTGATTAGGGAGAAAATTATTATTATTTATATGAAAAACTAATGAGGGTACATTTCTTTACATTGTGCCCCCCCCCCCCATAATTTTATAATTGTGCCAAAATATAAAATACTATATAAATCATAACTACTACATGTATATGCTTGTGTCCCCTCAATTTTGTGCCCCCTCAATAAAAACATCTGATGACTTCTTTGCTGTGTTTTTGGTTGTCAAGAAATTTTTGGTAGTTGAAAACTGAAACTGTTTGGCTGTGCCTCCCCCCCCCCCCCCATTGAAATGAGCACTATGGTTTCACTAGTATAGTTGAGTCTTTGACCAAGTCGGAGACCCGAGCGGTGTCTTTTTAATATATTTATCGAATATATATTTATATCGCAATGCATCGCAAGTTTGACAATGAATATTGATAACAACACATTTGTCCCCCCCCCCCCCCCCCCCCTTCATTCCCATTTGCCATTCCCGTAATATTTTTCCCGATATAATATACAAAACAGTAAATTTATGCTTATGTCCATTCAAAAATAACTTCCAGTTACCATGATACAATGTAACCCCTATTTTTCTTCGGTTGGGGTGGGGATAGGTTGATTAACAATGTTTTTTTTTTAATTATTATTCC